CTCTGCTGCCACCCAGGTGGCCTGCGACGCCTTATCCGCTTGTATTGGGGTGTTTTAGCTGATGGGTGCTTGTGCCGGTGTGAACGTCACGTGTGGGTTTCCATGGGGCCTATTCCATTCCTGGCAGGGCTGCTATGAAATTACATTAAAGTTGCTGCTCTTTTTGTTTTGGCAAAGTAGTCAGTGGGTGGCTGCGGGTGTCTTTGACTAGCAGTGGCCTGGCACTGCCTCCGAACAATGCCTGGTAGTGCTGGTGGACCTGCAGCTGACCACTAACTTGGGGTGGGCTGCGGGTTGCAGGCCTCTGCCCTCCGGGAAGAGGGCACAGTGATCCTCACTCCCAGGCCTGATTTCGAACCCATTTCACCCACAAGGGAGGCTGGGCTGCTCACACCTTCAGAATTTACAGGGCTAAATGACCAGCTGATGGGATGTGGCATGCATTTGTTCAGAACTCAGACGTTGACTCTCCAGTGACTGGGTTATACCCCAATTGCCATTTCTGGCTCCTGGCTTGGTGTGGTGGAGCCTCCCAGCTTCATGACTGGCGGGTGTTCATGGCTTCCGGTGCCATGCCGGTCAGTGTTGCTGTCCTTCGGTGCTGGGAGAGCAGCCTGTACTTCAGGCATGAGGTGCAACCTGGTGGGCCAGGGACAGTGCCACCCTGCAGGGCGTGGGGTGCATGCTAGCACTGGCCACGGCAGGGTTGGGGGGAAATGGCAGGTACAGCTGTGGGCTGGCCAAGCAGTCTAGTTCAGATATGCAGGAGCTGGCACACTCTGGCATTCTTTGGTTCAGAGACCACCATTCCAGGGGAGGCCACACCAGGGTCAGCTGGCAGCCTTTTGCACTGCCTTCCAGGCCCATGGCCTCTGAAGTTCAGCCCAACTCCCAGGATGAAGCTTGGTAACAGCAAGACCCTTCTCCTGAGGAGGGAGTGGAACCGAGCCCTCCAGAATCCCACTCCCTGCTCCCCTGGGGGGGAATCCGAGAGACGGGCCCTGCACCTGCTGTCACCCTTACGGCCCTTTCCCTGACCTCGGACGTGTCTCCCACTGCTCTGCAGCAGAGGTGAGGCTGGGGTGTCCTGCACGGGTGGAGGTCTTTACCCTGCAGGAACACCCTGTGCACTCCACTGTGGTGTTGACGGCTATGGCTGTGTTTTCCACAGACCCACAGAGCAGCCTGGGAAGGGTGGTGGGGTCATATTCCAATTTTATTGATAAGAAAATTGAGCTCTGGAAAAGGGAGGGACATCTAATGTTCTGCCCTTCTTCTGGTTGGTGTGTGTGCCAGCCTGAATTTCTGCAGCTGGTCCACTTCCTCACTTGCGTTGATGTGGGCAAAGCCCTCCTGTTCCCATGCCACTCTGACCCCCAAGCCAGCTCTGGGATCCTGCTTAGGGTTTGAATCAGAGGCAGGTGACACAGGCCAGGCAACAGGGGATTGGTGACTGCAATGTCCTGTTTCCAGGGGCAACGGTGGTGCCAGCCGCATGCCTGCTGTCCCTCATTCCTCGACCTGACAGGTGTTTCCTGGGGCTTGATTTTGGCTGTGGTTGGACTGCAGCCAGTCTTGGTTTCTACAGTTTTGAGTCGGCTTCTCCAGCCTTCCCAGAAGTTTTGGGTTCTAGAACAGCCTTTTAGTAAATTGCTTTTGTGCTTAACTTAGCTGGCAGCAGCTTCTGATGCTTACCATTAGGAGTCCTGCCTGAAATGAGGTCTCCTGGCTTCTCATAGTGCAGATCTGAGGCCTGAGCCAGGGTCCTGAGCCCCAGATCTACTGAGAAACAGTCTTTCAGCCTGACTGGAGGCCTGTGCTTCTGAGCAGGGGCCAGTAGGAGACACATGTCCATGGGGAACACACTTGTGAGAACCAGGTAAACAAATGTAAGCTGGTCTCTACTGCCAGACCGCTCAGGGTTTTTGCCACACCATAGTGCAGGAAGTATCTCCCAGGAGGGCACAGTGCTTCCGGGCCTCTCACTGTCCCCAGAGCCCTTGTCTGTGCAGTTTGGTGGAACACACTTTGGGAAGCACTGTGCTGGATTCTTGGCATGGATGATGGACACGCCAATCCTGCATTTCAACACATATTTGATAAGCCCTACATGTGTAGGGCCTCTGTCTTCAGTGGGACCCTGCCCCGTGGCAGCCAGCTCCCTGTCCAGCTGCCAGGGGCTCCCGGTAATGAGAAATGTCCACAGATGTGGGCCAGCAGTTGATTCTGGCTTCAAGAAATGAGAGAAGTCCCTCGGGGGGTCGGGAAAGGGGGTAGTGATTGCCTTTGGAGAAGGGTCAGGATTTTGATGCTGTTGGGTAAGATTTTGGGGGATGAGAGCAGAGCACCCTGGGTGACTAGGTCAGAGACCATGTGGTTAAAATGTCGATTGTGGCCAGGGCAACAGTAATCCCAAACCCTTCTGGGTGCCAGGTCTTTGCCCTTTCCCACTAATTCTGGTGCCCACCCTGGGACTTTGATCCTACAGATAAAAGCACTTGTAGCTCAGATTTCTGAGTGACGGGTGGTGGGGTGTCATGCCACGATCTCCCCACCCTGCCGCTGTGTGAAGTGGAGGGGGTGTGGGAAGGCTCCCACTTGGTTTGTACCCCCCAGGCAGTGGGGAGCCATGGAAGGTGGGATGTTCAGGAGTCTGATGTGTCAGAGGCGTCTCTGACATGGGTCGAGCATCTGAGGTCTTCCAGCCAAATCCCCTGGTCTCTGTCTGGGAACTGGAGGGGAGTCTGTTGTAGAGCCCTGTCCACATGTGCAGGCAAGGGCTGTCCGGGCGCCTCTGGGGCCAGGGCCGAGGACGGGCCCCCGTGAGCATGCTCCATGCTGTGTGGTTTGGGACCCGCCTCTGGACCTTGTCAGGGGCTCTTCACTTATCTCTGTCCCGTGGGTGTTGGGAAGATAGAGGAGGGAGTTGTGTGGTATTAGGAGCAGGTGGAAGGCTGGAGAAGGAAGGACTATTGGGGGCAGGTGTGTGGTTTCATGGACCACCCCCGCCAGCCACGTGGTACAATCTGGAGGGTCAGGGAGAGGACAGTCTAACTGAAGGGACTGCGGTGCATGTGAGGGGCACCCGAGGTTGGGGCACTGCTGGACTGGGTGGGGGCAAAGGAAGGGGAGGGTACCAGAGTGTGGCCTTGGAGGGGCTCGGCAGGCCTTTGCTGTGGCGGGTATGGATAAAGCGAAGGTTCCTCTGGCCGGGATTCTCACCTGGGCCTGGTCGGCTCGCCCACTGTGCACGTGTGGGCAATACGTTGTTATTGACTAAAGAGCTCTGCCCAGTGCTCTGGGCAACACGGTGGCACAGCTGCAGGAGAGCAGAGGCTGGAGTAGACGCAGCGCAAGGACAGAGACCGAGGCGGCTGCGGGGCAGAGACAGGCTTGCTGCGTGCAGACTCGCTCTGAGTGGACGGGAATCTAGTGATTGACCTGCCACTGCAGGCATAAAGTTGGGTATAAAGTTCTTTCACCCCAAGAACGTTCTATTGTCCTTCCTCGATCTCCCTGAATCCAGTGAACTTGCCCGGGGCTGAAACCCATCGGCAAGACAGAGGGCCTGGTAGCCAGTGCTCCAGGGCTTGCCGTGCCTGCCCCAGCCACCGCTCTGCCATGGGAGTGGCCAGATAGCCACAGCAGTGTGCAGACAAAGAGTGTGGCCGCATCCCGGTAAAAGTATTTACAAAAGCAGGGAGGGGTGGCCAGGCTCAGCCGGTGTCTGCTGTTTGCTGACCCTGGCAGTTGATTCGTTGTTTGGTCAGGAGTTGGGGGTCATGGAGCCCACACGTAATGAGGGCTCTGGAGTCCTTCCCCGTGGAGGTGGGAGCTGATGAGGGTTCTCTGGGAAGACTGGGGATGGAGAGCTGCGGTGATAAGATTCAACACCTCACGATGTGCAGGTGTGCAAGGAGGTGGGCAAGGGAGCATGGGAAGGTGCAGCCCTAGGTGAGCCCCGTCTTGGGGTGGAGGCAGGGGTGTGGTTGGGAGCTATTCACTGAAATGCTGCATAGGGGGAGCCCTCTGGGGGGGGGTAACAGTCTGGGACAAGTTTGTCTGCTGTGCCTATAGGACAAGACGGGGAGACCGCCAGGAAGCAGCTGAGCTTCCAAGCAGGAAGCACGAGGGAGGCTTGCCCCAGGCTGCAGCTGCTTCCATTTAAGGGTGCAGGTGTGGTCTGGGCATTGCTGGCCTGGAAGGTCCCATGAGGGAGGCGCTTCCCCCAGGTGGTTTGTGGATCAGGATCCCCAGGAGAGGAGTTGGGCACTGGCCGGGTTGTCATCCCCGCCGCGCTCTGTTGGGTTAGCTTCTTGCCTCCCTGAGAATCCGAGGGATTTTTATAAAATTTCAATTTACCTGAAGTTATTCCTGGTTTCTTACCACTTGACTGTATCCGTTTTTCTCAAGTCTTTGCTTTGTTGACCAGAATTAATATGTATCAAAATTAACATGGTGTAGAATAGCTTTTGTAGGTTTGTACATTGTTTGTAAGTAAAGCGTGCTTTCCAGAGCATAAGGGCTTTGTTCGTGTGGCATATGCTTCCCTAAGCACCTCACACAGGTACTGCTGTGTAATGCTGGGTCACATCTCCATTTCTGTAGTTCATTTCAAAATGCTTTATTTTTAAATGTACTTTATTCAAAGTATCAAATGGCTTGAGTTCAGTTTTCATGAGAAAGTTGGCAATTGTTCTTTCTTTAAAAGAAAGCAAGGCTGGCTTAATCCAGGTACTTCCACTTCCCCGGGCTGTGCGTAGGTTGAGGGTCCATGGGAAGCCGTGATTTAAGGAAGCGGCAGGAGTGCTCTTGGGTGACGGCTCTAGGTAATTATGGTAGCTTTCGTTTTCAAAGTCTTTATTGTACAAATCATAAATGTGACTAAATTCCAAAAAATGGAAAAACTTTGGAAGATGTTTTGTCTTAAGTAATTGGTGTTTCTTTTATGCTTTAAAGGTAACCAAAGGCGTTCACACACTTAAATTTTTTCTTGGTAGGTCTTTGGGAGGATGAGCAAGACCTGTGAAATGAAGTTTAAAGCGGTGGACAGCCCTTTGGGGAAGATCGTGATCTCTGGCTGTGAGCAGGGTCTGCACGGGATAAGGCTGCTGGGCAGGGAGACCCCCGATGCTGAGTGAGTCCTATGTGATGCCCCCTTCATGCACAGGGCAGTGATGGGGTCACCGCTTGTCTTACATTGATCCCATCTGCTGCTAGTCACAGAAATTGGCATTTCTCTAAGAACATTCGTGACGTGATTGGCCTTCCATTTCTAGTATCTGTGCTTGCCGCCCGAGAATCTCCTGCCCCCAGGTAACTTTGGGGACGTAGCCTGGAATTAGCTCCCAGGCATTCAGTTACTGCTCATATTTACCGAGCAGTTGGTTGCCCATGAGCACTGAACATTGATTCTTCAACAAAAGTGATATGGGAACCTGGGAATCTGTTGACACAGAGATACTTGCCTAATCTTGATTTTTAAATGAGGGCCAGCCTTCCTAGTCATGGAAGGCTGCCAAGTGAGTTGCGTACTAAAGTGGAATTGCTTAATGGGGTTCCACTGGCCCTTTTAGCGATGTTGTCAGACTGGTGTGCGTGCATCTGGGGAGAAGGGTTATGAAGTGCCCTTTCCAGCATGGCGGCAGGGCACTGCCATTTCTAACAGGACATCCGTTTCTTTCTTTTTTGAGCATCTCCACTGTATTTCTCAATTATAGAAGCAAATTTAAAGCACTCCTTAATGTTTCATTCCGAAATGTAGCATTTCCTCCATTGATTATGAGGAAGTTATTAAAATAGCAGCTCTTGTTATTTCTGACTGAAGAGGAGAAAAACCACGTGCTTCTGCTCGGTGTTTGTCTTAACTGACTAATAAACACAATGCCAAGAACGTTAGAGAAAGAAAATACATAAGGAACATAAAAATTGATTTTAATGGGCCCCTGTCAGAGACGGCTGTGATGAGCCCTAGTGCTGTCATAAATACCAGGGCTCGCCTCCACTGCCGAGGTTTTTCCTGGAGAGCTGCATGCTACGATCAATAGTCTTTCCTAAGGCCAAAAAATAAGCAAACCTTTGAACTGTATGAATACACTCTTCTCTCTTTCTATGAGAACCATCTGGCTGTAGTGTTTGGAAAAATCACAGGCACCAAATAATTTGCAGGAAAATGTCATTCTGTCTTTTAGCATGTTCAGTTGCACAATAAATCACAGAAATTGTCTTGAGCTTTTTTGATTTAAAACGGTGAGTTTGGGGAAGAAGAGGAGAGGTGTTCAGGGAGATACCCACCGTGGGCTCTGAGCAGGCCGACATGGCTTGATTCTGGGTTTCTAGTTCCTGAATCAGATTTGGATTAGATGCTGTTGCGGAAAAACACACCTCCAAAGGCCTCCAGTAAGACGCAGCTGGCTTCTCATAACACGCTCCTGCGGACGCAGTGGAGGCCAGGGCTGCGGGCTTGGTAGCCACTGCAAAGCTGGCCGGCCTCCAGCTTGCCCCTGTGCTGCTCTGGGCTGTGGCTGCTGTGCCCAGGCTCCAGGCCAGCCTCTGGGGCCCGAGTTGCCACGCTCGCCTTCCAGGCAGCAGAAAGAGGAGAAAGCGCGGGAATGCCTCCTCCCTTTGCAGAAGTAGCAGTTAACATTTTCTGTCTTCCCTGTGGCTGGAACTGTCATGGGGCCACACCTAGCTGGAGGGCATGTTGTGTGGTCACCTGATGGCTAAAATCGGGGCTTCTGGGTGTAAGAAGTGGGAAATGGATTTTGGGGGTAACTGACAGCCCCTCCTAAATACATGTGGTTAATCAGGGGGAAGGATGTTTAAAAGTTGTAGCATAAAAATTCTGTATTGAAATTCAACAATCTTTATTTCATCACTTTAAAAGGTAAAAGTTACCATAGTGAAACTCCTAGGTGTTATGTGTCCAGTGAGTTTTGAGAAATGTGTGCAACCCTATAGCCACCTGCCCAAGCAGACAGCACACTAAGCACTTCCCCTCTCGGTCGGGCGGCCTCCTGGCCCCGCTGTTCGGGTGTCTCTTGTGAGGGATCCGTTTTGCGTGTTCTTGCACTGTGTGTAAGCGTGCCATACAGTGTTGGCTCAACAGTGTTTATGAGGGAATCTGTTCACTCATGGTGCATGTGAGCACACCTCACATTCTGTCCATTCCGCTGGTGGACACTGGAGTCCAATTTCTGCTGTGAGTAAAGCTGCTGTGACCATTCCTGCTCTGGCCTCTCTAGCCTCGTTCTCATTCCTTGAGTGGATTCCTGTGTATGGAACTGCTGGATTGCGCGGTGAATGTATATTTAAGCTTATAAGAAATTGCTGGAGCTTCCCGCTGTCAAACCACTTGCTGTCTCCCCAGGAACGTGTGAGGGTATCCACTCCACCCACACCCCCCAGCCAAACTCGGCAGTGGCAGCCTGTCACGTTCCAGCTACTCTTGTGGGTTCTAGAATGTTAAGAGCTACCACCCGTGGGCAGACAGGGAGTGTCTTTGCAGAGTTGTGCTTTCCTGATGACTTATCTGGAGCACCTTCTTGGCTGCTCCTGAGCCAGCACTGTGTTGTAGAGAAATGAATTTGGGGATTTTATGCCAGTCTGATGTACTTCATCTTGTTGTTGTAACATTGCTGGTTTAAATTTGCTATGTAGGGTTTATGTGTTCGGGAGGGATGTTAGTCTGTCATTTCTTTGTAACTGTCGGGTTTTCGCATTCAGGTGGGTCTGACCACAGAGTGGGTCTGGAAGGGAGTGACCCCTCTTGTCTTCCAAGGGTCCCGAGGGATCGGCACGGCTTCTGAAGTTGTGGGTCAGTCCCCTTGGATGCCGACAGGTCTAGGGTGGTTATACAGAAAGGCTCTGGTCAGGATTCTTCTTATCTGAAAGAGCAGGTGGTTGCCCTCGCCCACCTGGAGGGGACCCCTTCCCCAATGTGGCTTCCGCAGGTACAGCCGTCTGCGCCCTCCAGGGCTGGGTCCCGCTGACCAGGGGCCAAGAGGATTTTGAGCAGAGCACCCAAGGTGCTGGGCCCCCGTTCTCGGCCTCCCCCTTGATCTCTTGTGAGCCCCAGGATATTCACTTCTTCTGAAGCAGAGCTGCCTTCTTAGGTAGGTGAGCGGGCAGTTGGCCGTTGATGCCCACTCTCGGTGGAGCCCCGTCTGCAGCCTGCACAGAGTGGTTCCCGGCCTCGGCTGAGTCTGCGCACCTGCTCGCTTGGCTTCATGCGGTCGTCATTGGTTTCTTTTTTGTACAGGTTACATTACTCACCTTTCCTTGCCTAAACATATTTGAAGAATATCAGGAAAGTAGTATAATCTCAATTTTATAACTTCCTGCCGGTATTTAAGTGTCCATGCACAGCTACCATATTCAAGAGCAATTGGCTGCTTTTGCAAGAGCTCAACTGGCTTCTTCCCACACACAGGGGCTTTGACTTCATTGCTCTTTGCACTAATGAGCAGGGCCCTAGAGTGTGTATTTTTGTCATTTGGGGGCTTGTTTCATTTTCCGTAAAGTCAATTATAGTCTTTGTGGTTTTTTAGTTTTAAGGCATTGTATATGTTTCTTTCTCTTGTGATAAAATATATGTAATATAAAATTTACCACTGCAGCCATTTTTAAGTACGGTTCAAAGGCATTAAGTGCTTTTATATTGCTGTGCAAGCATTGCCACTATTTCTCCAGGACTTTGTCTTCTTCCCAAACTGAAGATTGTATATAATTTTTCCAAGTTACATTTACTGTTTTTTAAGGTACAATAAAGTGCACAACTATTAGTGTACAGCCCTGTGAATTCTGACGTGCGCACACTCATGCAGCCATCACCCAGGTTAAGATGTCAAACGTGCTCATCCTTTTCCCTTTCACCCAGCATCTCAGTACTTGAGAAACGGACTGTACAGCCTTGGGCCCTGCTTACATTATGGAACTAGCAGTAGGTGTCTGGGGCCAGGGTGCTCGAGAGCTCGCGTGCCCTGCTGTGACTCATCACAGACCTACTCCTGTTTTTCAGTTTACTCTTTCCGTCTAAGCCACCTTAGAAAAATACAGGAGTGCAATAAATACTGAAAAAGCCCATATGGTCCAAACCGAATCATTGTAAAACTTTGTGGAAATGCACGAGGCTGTTTCCTCCTCATTAGGACCAGACAGTGTCCTGGCAGTCTGCCTCTGGGCCTCTGCCCTGCCCGGTGCTGAGGCTGGGTGGGAGCACATAGGTTAGTGAGGCCACCGCCTCCTCCCAGGACTCAGATGGCTGGCTGATTGGACAGGGTCTCTAGCCACTGGCTTGACAGACACGGGCCTGGGCCCTCTGGGCACGAGAGGATGCCACTGTAGCGGCTCAGTTAGACCTGGGCAAGGGAGCTGCCCACCTCTTCAGATGCTCTGTCGGTTTTCACCTGTCAAGTGTGCCGGAGTAATCGCTCCATGGGAAGGACGTGACCCCTTGGCCGACCTGAAGAGAAGCCAGGCTTGTGGAGTCACCTTGGGTCTGTTCAGTCTGAGTGGCTGCAATCGGCTTGTGTGTGTTTGCTGCTTTCCCGTTGGTCTTTAAACATCTTATGTAAGTGGGCCATCAGGAGAGCAGAGGACACCAAGGTCGTCTTGGGGATGTTGACCCTTGTGCTGGCCTGTGCCTGCTGCTCGCTTTCCCACGTGGCAGTGCCCCCTGTGCAGGTGGGTACTGATGGCCAGTCCTGGAGAATTCCCGAGGGTCTGTGTCAGGCAAACCTTCCTGGAAAACTTCAGTTCTTTTCAACGGACTAGGAAGTTTTTGTACAGATACTTGGAACATATACTTTATTGTAATTGATCTTCAAGGAAGAGAAGAAACTGTTCTTAAGCATAAACACTTGAAGAATCACTCCCAGTAAAAATGACACCCAGAAACATGCTCCACAGGATTTTCACCTGCAGCGAGTTAGTCGTCTCACTGCTTTTCTTCAGTGGCTTGAAAATAATGATTTGTATTGTTGTGCTTAAAAATGTAATTATTTTATTTACAGAGTGTTCCTTGAGGAGGTCTCTTGAGTCAGATAAGCATGTTTCTGTGAGGAAAACCTGCCAAGCTCTCTTTGGCTCTACAGAAATCGTCTGTTGTCTGAGACAAGTGCTTGAGTGCCCTGGTGA